ATTAGGAAATTGGTTAGGATTACTTCCACAGTCATTAAACTTTAACTAATCGTAAATTGATTATTCTGAAATAAAACCAATTATTTTTATAATGTCTACTTACATTAAAACCTCCGGGTTGCAATAGGGTTGCTTAGTGCTAAAGGGGATATTTTGATTAATATAATTAGTTTATGTACACACAGTGGTGTAACGGCTTGACGGAGAATATTAGGGCCCCCTGAAAAGTCAGGTTTCGGGCTCCAAGCCGGAACCCACAAAGGATTGCAACTTGGTGTCAGTTAGACTTTGAGCCCTCCTCAATGCGGGGATGTACGTTACGCCACTGTGTACACGAGAGAAAATGTACTCTACAAGGGTTTTTTGTTTTTCAGTATTAAAATGGCATAACTTTTTGGGTTACCTGATATTAAAGCAAATATTTTTTTAAGTTTTTATCATTGCTGAGATGTAGCTTAATATTTTAGTATGAATTATAGAACAATCATAAAATTAAAAGTACCTGGATATTTCAGGAACGTCAAAACCTTGATCAATGTACTCTTTAGTTGCTGGGACTGCGACAGACAAAATTAATCGTTCTTTTTCAGGGGGAAATTTTTCATCATCAATTGCTTGTCGTAGTTCCTAGAATTAATTTTAAAAAATTTACCATCAGAAATTCGATTAGATAATTTACGAATTATTAAATAACTTGTAAGCCGTATATCCAAAGAAATTGGAAAAAAAATCATTAAAAATATATTTTATAAAATCTGTTTTATATATCAGTTATAAAAGTCTTGTATAAAAGTAATAATGTTCTGACTTAGTAATTAAGCTACAATCTTTACAAAAATTTATCAAATGCAGATTATTACTTTTTAAAAAATTTGTTCTTTTAAATTGTTTTTTTTTAATTTATTCTCTCTAAACACTAATTCAAAACTACAATTAGAAATATCTATTTGTACTACACACAAATGAGTTATTTCTGAAATAATAAAGTAATATTAATTTGAACTAAAATTATATTTATGTATTAAATAATATTCAGAATTATATACATATTACAAAGATTCTTCTATAGATCATTGCAGATAGCTGGAGAGTGATGTAAATTAAATGATCAAATGAAAGAGAATATTAAAAAAGTAATCAACTTCCATAATAGAGCAATGTCCATGATTCATCCGGGTGGTGCTCTTACCTTGACAAGCAGGGCGTATCCCCTCTTGTCGGTGGTGTGGTTGCCCCCTTCTCTGAAGGCTGGATACTCCCAGTCGAGGTCGATTCCATCGAATCCGTATTCTCTGAGGAAAGCCATCACACTCAGAATGAAGGTGCGTCTATTGTCTGGGGATTCCACAAGTTTGGAGAATCTTTTGGAACCTTCATTCCAGCCTCCCACTGCGATCATGGTCTTCAGGTTGGGGTTGTAGGCTTTCAAGCTGACGAAGCTCCTGTAGTTGCCTGAATGAAAAATGTTTACATAATGATTAAAACAACCTCATGTTTAAATTTCTGAGAAAAATTACGCTGCCCAGCTTTGATCTTGGATTTATAGAACTGATGATTTTTGGTGAATTAGGTACTATGGACTGACGTCCCTCTCTGAGGCCCTCCTAGTGAAATCTATTGAATCAAATTTGTTGGCAATAATTATTTTTATCATCTTCAAAGAAAAGTACAGTATGCAGGACATGACAAATGACACAGATATATCTGGGAAACAAATAAAAAAAATGCTCAGTTTGATTGCTACGTTAGATTTTGATACGATATAAACGTAAACCAAATTAATACTTTGATATAAAATCTATACATCTCATTCTAATACTTCGAATTTCCGAAGAAATCTTTAGTTGAACACAACAAATGAACAAAACTATGGTATATGATATTATTGTTGGTTTATATTTAAAAATAACTTTATCAAGCAGATTAAGTATCACACTCTTGGCAATAAAACCATGATTTTTCAAATTGAGTTTATTTTATGTTGTCATAATTTTAAGATTCACGCAAAGATGTTTATTAGGGATATATATATATATATATATTACAACTGAATTATTTTGTATTGATTATGTTGTACTGTGATTTGAATTTATAATGGATACACAGAGGAGAAAAAGTAATATAGATTATTAGTTAGATATTTCTAGAATTTGTTGCTTTGAGTTATTGCAAATAAATTTTAGTACTTTTTAAACTTATATAAAAAAAATTGCATTATTTATACTGTATTTTCCCTTCTGAATTTTATTTTGGCTGAGTAATATTAACAAATAATTGGAAAACTTTGCTCATTGTTAGATTCAACTTTGCTTGACATCCTAGTTCGTAGTCCAACATTATGCTTACGCGTAACTGTGATTAACTCATCATGTTCTTTACCATTTTATTAGTTTTTGTACAATATTTTCCTAGGTTAGACAATCATAGTGTATCAGTATATATATATAGTAATATAAAAAAAAAAGTGAAGAAGTACTAGAACCTACAGTGCTAAAGCAGGAAGAAATTGGAATTCACCAGACACAACAAATGTAGATACAAAAAGTCTTTGGACTAAATTGGAGACCTATTATGATTTCTAAAGCTGTCGCTAAATTAGGCCAGCGAATTAGGGTTAGCAATGCTTTATAGATCCAACCTTATATATATATTCTGTATTTTGCATATCAGACATAGACTCTGCTTTATTTAAACGAGCTTTTTATATCAAATAAATATATCAAATCTTTACCTTGTTCCATATCATTGTAGGGATCGAACGGCTGAATCTGAAACTCTTCTGAAAGAGAAGCGAAAGCGTAGATGATGTGGGTACAGAGGTAAGGATTGATGTTTTCCGGTGTGAATTTGGCCAATCCAGGACGATACACAGCCCAATTGGAATAGTAGCACACCAATTTTGGCTCTCTACTTTGGCCCTTGTCCAAGTCATCTGAAAGGAAGATAACCATCAATTAACAATTTGCTGTTTAGTTTAAAGGTATTTTTAATATACAGGTATGCAATTCAAATTGTTTGCTTTCCAATAGGAAAGAATATGATAGTAATGCCCTTACGATAAGTTGTTTGACTTTTTTAAGCCACTTCGAACTAATATCTTAAGATACGACAACACCCTTGGATTCGTGCATTTGAATATACAAATGCCCATTGCCAGTAAGCTAGTGCCTAAGACTGCATGATAAATTTAATTGGATCTTAAAGATAGTGTTATATTTATACAGATGATAATTTTCAAGAAGTTTCTTTAGAATTACATGTTTAGTCATTGTCGGTACCACATTCCCCGCCTCCCATAAATATCCATTACATCTTCAAGAATTCTATTAGAAACGTAAAGCATTTTACACGTGGGCAATGAGCATCGAAGGTAAGAATGTTAGTATATAAGTGTATACACTAAATTTAATTTATTTGAAATTAATATTCTGCATATTTTAATTGGCTTTAGATGAGTTGAATGGATATTTGATAGATATTTAATCTGAAGTATTTTTTTTAAAAAAAAGCCTCTTCTGATCGATTTTTAATATTTGTATAACATTTTGAGTTAGAAAATAAAATAAAATCCTTAATGTACTATTTATATGGTTTATTTTTGTCATATTGAATCAATCCTGTTTTAATTGTGTGATAATAGTTCATTTCTCAAAATAGATTATCCGTTGTTCGTTCTTTGCTTAACATGTACACAAATTTGATTGTCATTTTAATTCTGTTTTACTTGTTCTCGATAAATCCTTTTTGTTAATCTTCTGAAATGATACATTCTTTGATCAGTGAAAGGGATCTAAGGGAATTAAGAGTATTAATCTTATTTCATCCTTGTAAATAAAGGAAAAGAATTATTCGCAATTTAAATTTATAATTTATTTCCAAAGAAGACAATAAGATTATTGAATGCCAGATACAAGTTAATTTACATTAAGAACAGCGATTTATCAAATGTGACAAGCAAGGCTTTTTAAAAGCGGAAACATCATATGTGTAAGCACATCAGTGCCCCTTTACAGGAAGGTATAAGATATAAATCAAATATTCGCTGCTATGGAAAGGAATCAGTGGGGATTTCCGTATGTTGTAAAGCTTAAACATATTAGATTTCGATCTACTAAAATACAAACTTTTGAAATATACGCTGAACTAAAAATAACATTTTCTAAAAATAAAACATTCTTTAACATTTCTAATAAAATCCTTTTTATTACTTATACGTCACGAATTGACTTAAAGCTAGAATTATGAAAAGTAGGCAGTTCATGAGGAACTTTGTACTTGCTAAACGCTTCAGAGTGTTTATTCTGACAGATATAAAAGTCTGCGAAACGAGCACGGTATACATACATCTCGTAATTTTTTACCACATTCAGAAGATGAGGTCGTCAGTCCAGTTGGTACCCCATTCTCCACATTTACGGCACGCCAACGTAAGAACTTTGAGAGCCCCGACATATTTAATACATTCGTACAATCAACATGATTGAATGAGGACTTGAACATGTGGCTGGACTGAGACATTGACGGCTGTGGGACATGTCTATAACAACTTGGCTACTACGGCCATTTATACCCTTGAATTGGCAGAACTTGTTGTAATAATAAATTAATTATTCAGGAATAAACTGATCTTGAACGTTATAATATAATGTAAAACACACATATATTTCATGTAAGGGAGGGGGAATATTGATTCAAATAGAAATTATTATTAACATAATGCAATGTATGTAACTTTTTACAAAACAGAGGTCAACATGTGATATCAATGTTGAAACCTTTTACATTCTGAAAAAGATACTCATACAGAATTTGGGTCTTGTTCCATAATATAAGATGGAAAGATCTTTAAATTTTAAACAATAAGAATCAAAATTATGAGTGTGCATCATGCTTTCCTCCCGAACATTTTCAATTTGTGAATCCAATGATAATCTTATGGATATTTTACTTTTCGCCTCAAATCTTAACACAAGCAATAACAAAAAGCAAAAATTAATGCTCTTCCATAGGTGAGGATCGAACTCACAATCCCGGCAGGCCTTACAAACACTATTCTATAAATACCACGTGCTAACCACTTACATCACGGAATCGAAAATAAAGAAACTAGTTTAAAACGAAACTATGATAAGGGGCAGCAAACGTTTTTTCTTTTCATTCAAAAGAAAGAAAATATTCTTTTTTATTCCTTAGGAACAAAATTTAAAATCTCATCCAGTTATTTTTAGAACGTAGAAAATGCTTAAAATTCTCAGAAAGAGATATATCTCTAAACATTGATTGAGGAGAAGCTCCTTTTATAAAGTTTCTTGATGTAAAAGATTCTCTTCCCCAGGTGGGTATCGAACTCTCAACCTCAACATGCCTCGCGAACACTGTTTTACGAGTACTGTGCGCTAACCAGTTGAGCTACTGGGATCGAGAAACTAAGGAAAAATGCGCTTAAAATAAAACTATGATAAGAGGATGCTATATTATCTCTTCGATTTCTAAAAATAAAATTTCTAGATATTTCTAAAGAATCTGAAACCCCACAAAGGAATCCTTAAGGTATCCGACTACGTTTGGAACCGTGATTTTAAAAAAGCGAATAAATGGATAATTTTCATGATATTTAGTGTCACTCCGATTAGAATACATGCATAAAATTTTTTTAAGGACATTTTGATAAAAAAATTATTTAAATACAATAATTCAGCAAGAAAGTAACTTGGAATAACCTTTTTTCAAAATGTTCTCCTTTTGTGAAAAATGCTTCTATTATAATAATATTTTGCCTGTATATAGCTCAGACCTTTCTACAGAGGTTCAACTATGATTTTTGAAAAATTCACATTATTTTCAGAGTTACAACCCAT